TACCTGGGAATCCAAGCATACGACACACTACAGTAGAATCTCGTAGGTCCCAGTAATCATCACAGATAGTCCCCCATTTTCCATTGTGTTGAATCTCTACGCGCCCTTCAGTGGGAGAGGCGCCGTTTGCAAGACGTATTTTCGTACTAGGTGGCGATGTAACAGCTAGTAAAACRTGACAAAATAAAGAAGAATTTTATAAACGGGGRSAGATAAAACGCGCTGTGCTGTATTTTGTAAAACCAGGTTTATTTTCATATATATAAAAAAAAGAAAAATATTACTTACTTTGGCGATGAGTTGTTGGTAGTATTGTAGTTATTTCTTTTGTGGTCGTTGCAGCTGTTGTTGTTGTAGATTGTGTTGGTGTTTGTGTTGTCTTCTGTGTTGTTTTTGCTTCTGTTGTTGGTTTTTGAGTTGTCGTAGGTGGCTTCGTAGTTGGCATAGTTGTCGGTTCAGTTGTTATAGGTAGCATTGTTGTAGTTGATTCAGTTGTGTGTTGTTCTGTAGTTGGTTCAGTTGTGTGTTGTTCTGTTGTTGTTTCAGTTGTATGTTGTTCTGTCGTAGTTTGTCTTACTGTAGTTAGTTCAGTCGTGAGAAGTCCTGTAGTGCTTGTTAATACAGTTGTAGCCGTTGACACTTTGCTTGCCGTTGTTGTTACTCCTACAAACGTTATACCAGAATAAACTTAGATAATAAATAGTCCAAAAGCTCAACGGCGGGGTCGAACTGAAAGCAATGTGAAGGCGAATTTGGCAGCCTTATTAATGACCCCAGAGCACCGCTCTGACCAGTTTGAATTAGTTAGTGTCGGTTCGCTATTGAGAGTGACGAAAAAAACCAGAAACGATTACGAATAGATTTCTACCTCTTTATAACTTGGGCGTTATGTTTTCCTACAGGCTAGACCACGTGTCATTCTCTAGAGTATCATTTCTTTGTTTAACGGTTGCGCATGAGAATACACATGATTATGAATACAACTCAAACAAATAATCTTATTCTTAAGAGAATGACATATACGTGTTCTGAAATTGGAAAACATTACGTCCATAGTAATTTAGTGAGACTTTTCTTTATCTAGATAAAGTATGATTACTGAAGCATTCTGATTGGCCCAGGCGAAAACCAATTAAGTGTTAAAGTAATTTAGTTTATTCTTACCCAGGTCACATGTTCTCTGATCTGCCAATAGTGTTACATTGTTAGGACAGCCACAGACACGTGTTCGTATTCCAGTTGTAAAGCAAAGATGGCTGCATCCGCCATTACCGAGAGAACAGCGAGATGTTACTAAAAAATGAAATACCCAGAATACTAAGATAAGACAAGGCGAAATGAGAGAAAGAAGACAAGACAAGACGAAATGAGAGAGAGAAGAGAAGAGAAGAGAGAAGAGAAGAGAAGGCACCAAACGATACCTACCTCGAGGCTGTCTAGCCTTGCCTAACACAGCCATTCCCAACACCTTATCTTCAGAAACCACACCACTTCCTGGCAGTCTCTTTCCAGTAATAACGTCAACCTTTTCTATCGACCTACTTTGCCAGTCACCCCAGAATAGGGTGGWGTCGTACAGAGCAAGATCAAATGGGTGGATGTTGGGTACACTGTACAGAACACGCCTACTAGAGCCGTCATAGTTTATTGACTCTATACGATCAAGGTATGATTCACAGATGTAGAGTTTCTTGTTGGGGTAATCGATGACTAGTCCATTTGGCCAACTTATTCCTGTAGAGATGAGAACACGACGATMCTGGCCGGATAGAGATGATCGTTCGAGGCGAGGTGCTGCTCCCCAGTCGGTGAAGAAGAGGATTCTGTATGAAGTGGGAATGGAAGGGAAATTTAGAAATGAAATGTGCGTAAATGGTAAGAGATAAATATCAGATCTTCCTTTCTCTTCCTGCCACCCATCCATCCACCCACCCATCCACCCACCCATCCACCCATCCACCCATCCACCCATCCACCCACCCATCCATCCATCTAGTTCCTACCCTTGTTCTGGTTCCACTACAATAGCTCGTGGCTTGTCTATATTCTGATCGATGATAGTTTTCCTGGACGAGCCATCAAGYTTCGCCACTCCAATCCTCTTGTGCGCCAAATCGGTCCAGTACAATAATCTCCCAACCCACTCTACAGCTATTCCATCATAAACACCAYTCTCTCCTCCAATTACAACCTCAGTAGCTCCACTAAGGAGATTCGATCTTTTGATCACATGTTCGCTCTTGTCACTCCAGTACAGGCTCTGTGTTGCCACGTCAACGTCGATGGCTCTGACGTCTTTAAGTGACGTCATTCCTTGTACTTTTCGGGAGGTTTGTAACTCGATGCCGTTGATCTGGGTGACGGTGGCGTAGATTAAACATGGTGGTTGACAGTTGAAAGAGAATTGCCCTTGAAAACAACAGAACAAGAACAAATGAATAAGAATGGATGGATGGATTGATGGATGGATGAATGGATGGACGGACGGACGGACGGACGGATGGATGGATGGATGGAAATGAATATGAATATGAGTCTGTATGTATTTTGTAAATAATACACCATTGTATGTAAACATCTAGAGGGTAACACCAAGTGTCCCCCTCCTTAATTGTAAATAATTACACCTTTGTATTTTGTATAAATAAAAAATAATAAAAAAATGAATATGAGTGAGTGAGTGAGTAAGTGAGTGGATAGCTGGATGAATGAGGAAAAGAAGAAAGAAAGCAAGGCCGGGATGAAAAGAAGAAAAGTGAAATGAAGAATAAATAAAAAACTTAATAAAAGAAAGAGGAAACGAATGAATAGTAGAATGGATGGATGGACACATGCAAATTAGGAACGGACGCACTCGCTCACCCTATAGCTATAGAGGTGTGCGTAGAGCGTATTTTAAAAAGTCACTTACTTTTATTTTCTCTCTCTTCAAGTTGCTTGAAATCATTACTTTGGCCACCCTTGAAAGCTATTGGCAAAACAAAAGAGAGCATCATAACCTCACATTCTCGAAGTTCAGCCACGTGACCGAAAAATCCCTTGAGAAATAAATGATAATGAAACAGCCGCTATGTTGTTTGATCTAACAAGAGAAGCTAATGGGGAGTGCTTTGTTATCGTCAACCAACATGGCGGCTATGACGTAACATGCACCTCGAGAATTCTACGCTGAATTCAGTTTCCAAATTTAATCGATAACGTCTCACAATATATTTGATTTGTTATCCCTGGACCCACTCCGTTCCAAGAACATCTGGAGTCGATCTTACTTACCCATGCCTGGCCCTTGGTAGACGTCTTTGTTGCAGTATCTCTGGTCACAACAATCTATTGAGCACTGCGCAGATTCTTTAGACCCTGCTAAGCATGCTGGGAAGTGCTGGGTGKAGCATTTTTCTGTAGACACGCAACTTTTGAAGTATTCAGTAATCATTGGACCATGGGGTTTCTTGAGTGTAAWAGATCCAGTGATACATCGGGTCGAGGCTTTGGGACATCCAACTAGGATTTGGTTGTGTTCGCAGTCTTCCCATGATTCTGTGCTGGCGCAGCTGTAACACTGTAGTCTTTGTGCTGTGAATCAGTGACATCGTTCATCATCATCATCATCATCATCATCAATCATCATCACCAACATCATCATCACCCTCATCACCATCGTCACCAACATCACCATCCGCTTATCATATCGACATTACTATCGTCATCGGGAATCAACATCAACTTTCTCACCACCACATCGTCTTCATTCATTAATTATCATTCAACTGCATTTTTTACATAGAAGGACAAACCTCAGGTYAACAACTCACCTTCACTGCTAAGCTCATGATCAGTTAAATCCATCAAACGTTCGAGTTCTACAAAACAAGATTGCCTAGAGTTAGCTATAGAAAACAGAAAACTAAAAAAGAAACCGCGGCAAGCATGGATGCATGTGAAACAACTTCTGAGCTTAACAAAGTTAGCGCACGGCAAACTCACAGATCGAATTGGAATTTAGCGTTTTGGGTTGCCCAGTACTGCGGGAGAACCCAGRCAAAACCCTCGAATCAAGGTAGAGACCTTACGAACTCTACTCACATGTGATGACCAGGAATCGAACCTGAGACCCAAGAAGTGAGAGGCGATTGCACACTCGAACACCAGCTTTGATTCTCATCGAACTTATGCATTCTTAATACTTRTGTATTAAGAAGGAAGACGTAAAAAGGATTTGTGTTATTACGGACAAATTTGTGTAGTTTAACTTGAAGTAGCAAAGCGTTAGACCAAGTTTAAAGGAGAATGTTCTCTGCTCTTGTAGACCTTGCTGTACACTGATTCAGAGTTCGTATCAATGAATTGCATCATACCAAATCTTTGGGGAATAAATTCTTTAATCCTACACTTTTAAATCAATGTATCCTTCGACACTTCAAACAAAAAAAATGTACTACTCAACGGAATGATTTGAGAAGGAGGAGTGGCTGTGAAACACTACAATAGAGGCTTTACACCATCACATGATTGCAGCCATGACAGGACGCAGGAACAATGCATCAGGTCGAATCTGATTGACATGAGAAAGAATGCATGATCAGTTTCCCCTGGGGGAAAACTGATCCTCCATTGTCGTGCCTCTTGTCATGGCTGCCATCACATGCAACCGTCGGACAACCAAGGGTGCAAGAGTATCAAGCACTAGTACCATGGCAAATAGAGGYACAAATTAAACCATATCATAATTGTCCATATTATAATGGTYTACCGTGTACATTTTYGATTWTTTATTTATTTWTATTTTTTTGAGGCTGTGAGGTTCGGTGGTTTGCGGTGAGCAACGCAGTCTCAAGTCTTTCTTTCTTACCTCGATCCTCGTTGCTGATGTCAAGTGACGTCACATCCTTGRATGACGTCATAAAATCTGTCGATGTCAAAACGTTAAAAAATGTATTAAAATTTTTTCCCTGTTCTAAAAGCCGACTTATTTCCCTGACAAGTCTAAACGTGTTTTCGAGCCGGTTTGATAACATTTTACTTTTTTTTCTAATTCTTAAGAAAACTTTACCTAAAGGACCACACAGTTGTAATAATAACTAAAAATAGATATTCCGCTTTGTAAAATTCCTAAATGGTATTTTATGTCTCGTAAGCGTTTTTTCTAGGGCTAATTAAATAGTTAGTTAAGCCGTAAAAAGTCTTCTTTGTTTGTTTATTTTCATAAAGTACAGGGCTAGTAATCCATGTTGACAGATATCCTGCTTGAATCAGGAAAAAATGAGTTTCCTTTGTCGTGCCTGTGCATGAACTCGATGTGTGGTGAGTCGGTTCATGTAAGAGATGAGCAACGTTTAAGTGAATTTATGGTTTCAAAGCGCGGGGATTTCTAAACTACAAAATCAAATACCCTTTAAGATAGCAACGAGAAAGAGAACGCTTTAACTTAACTTGCAGGATTTTAAGCATTCTTAGCGAGTATATTATTTGAAGCGAGTATACTATTTGAAGTAGACCTGAAATTTTATCAAAACCCCGAAATAACCTCTGGGCTGATCTTAGCAAGTCGAGCATGGCTAATTCCCAACTAGGTAGGTTTTGTGGAGGAAGRAAAACCGGAAAGTTCTGGGAGAAAAACCCTCGAAGGAAAGGAGAGCCCTAACCTGAAACTCTGCCGTGACATGTGAAGCCAAGTCCATTCCAATGAAGTTGGTTTTGCGATAACACAATTCCTCAACGTATTTACGCAGAAAATTTTACTTTAGATTTTTAAATATCCAAAATCATTCCTTAACAACTTCACTAGCTCAATATCTGAATTTCTTGAGCTAAGGTTTTTTTAAAAAAAACAGGAGGACTTATAAATTGAATTCAAATTTGCCTCGGTATTTCTAAAAACGGTTATAAAAAATATTTAAAATATTCCAAGTACTTGATATTTATCTATAAATCAAGGTATTTTTATTAAGCTTACCATGTTGGAGAGCTGAAGTCCTGAGGAGAAACGCCAGAGCAGAAGCTAAGAAAATCTGCAGTTTCATTTCTGAAGAGAGYTGAGCGTCCGTGCAGAGACTGTTGCAATGAAAGTTTTCGCTTCTCAAGAAATGTTCCTCTTAAGGTAACACGAGAAGGCTAGCGTTAATGACTTGTCATCAAGGGGCTAATGATATACAACAGTTGTTTTTAATAGCTAATGGACGTAATCGATGGGAAGTAATTTGGTATTTTTAACGTACGCGTAACAGGAAAAAGTAAAAGAAAAAGTGTGATTAAAAAAAAAACTTTTCCTGTTACCTTTCCAACAAAGATTATCTAAAGAGCCAAGTATGACATTATATATGTCACAGAGGTCCCCACACCGTAAAGAAAGTTTGGCCTACCTTCCTACTGTCCTTGTCTTTTCCTTTCGGCCTTTGTGAATCACACCTAATAAAAAATGACATAGTGAAAAATTAAAATTTGGGGCTACCTTTGGTCAGAAAATAACGCTACCTTCGCCACGGAAGAGGAATGAAATTTTCAAGGGGTGGGGAGGCCGGTCTGGAGAGGGTAATGATCGTGTAGTACCAGAAAATATCCTCAGTCCCCCCAACCCCCTCCCCATGGAGGTGTGTTGGAATTTCAATGGGGTAGAGAGGGTCTGAGATTTAGAGGAGCTTAGTTGGATTTTCGAAGAGTTCGAAATTTATTTTATTTTTGCACAAAAAATTCGGGCACGCATTTTAAAATGCGATGGTTTTAACGCAAAACGAATTCTAGAAACAATTAAAATTTTTAACGTAAAAAAAAAAGAAAAAAAAAAGAACAAGACATACCTTTGAGGACAAATGTTAAGCTTTAGGTCACCCATCCAGTTACTAACCTCCCTCAACCGGCTTGACTTCTCTTGTGCCCAAGTTTTTTCCACTCGGCCACGGTTCCATGGAATTAGCATAACAATAGCTGAGAAAACAATGCACCGAATAGACTAGACTTTTTAACATCAATTTTTCTCAGATTCCGTGCGTTGCAGAGTGCAAGGGACTAGCTGCTTATGGTCTGGGGGCCGGCTGGTCTCTCCCCTGATGCTCCGGCTAGAACATTTTCTTGCGTAATTCGTACACCCAAGGGCAGAAGGATTTAATCGCCGTCAGGTCCGAAGTCCATACGCCGCCTCAGCTCTGCGGATGTCTCGGGGGTATGGCACAGTGGAATCGATTTCTTCTTTTTTCTTCTTCTTTTCTTTTCTTTTCTTCCATTTTTTTTTTTTTTTTTGTGGACGCGAGATCGAACCCCGGCTTATGCTCGTACGATTTTTTATATTAAAAAAAATGTTCGTGGCATTTCCCCCATTTTTAGTAAGTGGATACTTTACTACGATACTCAATATTGATGGAAATCACCTGAAAACTTCACAGAGACCCAAAGAAAAACAAAAGCCACATTCCTCCTTCATTCATGCCCAGTCTCCTTCACCCTCTCGGTCATCATTTTATAATCAAACCAGTCGATTGTAATATTTTTTTCACTTGAAATCAAGATAATGTTTTAATATTCGAATAATATTTCCACCCTGTTTATCTAACCCTACTCCTAAAACGCTCACATTAATTTTTTCAACAAATTTACAAGAATTAAAATTAGCATTTCTATGATTGACGTAAGCCGAACTGAAATATATGTGAATATAAGTTGTGCCAGGACTTCCCAGAAACAAGAAAAGAAATCTTCATGCCGGAGGTGTCTATAACTCAAGAGAAACGCTGCGTGACAAACCTATCAATGTAGAAGACTACTAACACTGGGCACAATGCCATCTTGGAATATGAAATCAAAAGTAACAAAAGTGTTATCTATTTTTATGAAACGAGATGGATGACTACGTACACACACAACATGGACTCAGGGGCGGACACAAGAATTTTAGAAGGTGGCGGAGGGGGGGTGGGGGCGACTATTACACAAAAGTTATACTAGGAATTCAAGGAAAGGGGAGGGTGGAGGGGCGACTATTACAAAGGTTGTACAAGGAACGCGAGGATAAGGGGGGTGACTGTTACTAACGATATACTGAGAAATTTGAGCAAAAGAAGGGTGACTAGTCACCCCTTTTTAAACCCCTGGATCCGCCCCTGGAACTGATTTTTAAGCTAGTTTCTAAAAGGATCTGATTTTAAAGATTAAAATTGCAATTTACAGCCGATCCCCACTTGTACGAACACTTCAGTTCCTGTCCTCTATCTCCGTATTAACAAGGTTTGACTGTATTCAGCATTCTCTTCTGAAACGCTATATGTGGTGACGTGTTATTATCAAGCACATCTGAATCTAACTTCTATGTATTTAAAAGTCCCAGCACAGGGATCCCCAAACACTTCATTCTTCGCGTACAGATTACACGAGGTCTTCCCGTGACATGCACAGCGTATTAACTGAGTCGAGAAAGGCGAGCGACAATTAATGGTGCGCATGCTCTTGTGTGGACAGACCGCTTTCCCTGTGGTACGCCCGTAGTTGGCATAGACGATCCATAGTTTTCGTCCCGCGGGACATCTGAGAATCCCGCTACGGTGTTCGCATAGACGATACGTACCTGAAAAGGAAAGGAAAGCCTATCAATTCATGCATGTTGAGCCTCATCGCGTGACAGATAAACTTCTGTGACAAACAGAAATGCGTGACAATGTTAATATGATTCAAAATGTTTGCAATGAATTCAGCTTACGGATTGGCTGCCTTGGCTGACACGTGACACCAGCGTCGTTGCTATGGCGACAGTTGTGCTTTCCCCATCCAGCAAATCTACACATTCCAATGTTGGTCTCTCTGCCATTACACCTGACATTATCCATCAAGATAGTTCCGTTTCCTTGGCCGAACCGTGCTCCTCCAACAGCTGCCAGAGCCCTGGGGTATCCGAGCTGACGACAGACTACGTTAGCGTCGTTTCTGCCCCAGAAGTGATCGCATACTGTTCCCCAGCGACCACGGAATAGTACCTCTACACGACCCTGGTTACGAGAATTACCACCGACGAGACGTACGTGAACTGGGAAAAAAGAAATGAATGAATGAACACTTTCACCAATGAAACATCCATACTTCCCATACGGGCGGAATATAATACTCTGATTACATAGAAATGGGTGGCTTAGGCGCTAATTTGTCGCAGAGATGGATGGATGGATGGATGGA